GTACCTTTGGTGGAATGCTAAAGGTGAATATAAAGGGGTAACTTACCCTACATATACATAGAAATGTACAGAAGTGTATATCCAATACAGAAACAAACAGGACTATAGAGAAGATGGTAATTAAATATGGAGAATATATATTTTAAAACCAGACAACTCACATGAACTGGAGCCTATATATATTGGCTCTGTATATAAGGCTGTTATGCTTTTAGGGGAGCATCACACCACTCCTTATTTAGAATATTCCCACCAGTAGAGGTAAAGAGAAAAAAAGCATCCAATGTGTAGTATATCTGAAATAAAATACTAATGAAAGTAAAAAAATTGGTATTGAGCTCACCTTTTACAGAGCCATAAAATCTTGGCTCTAAGGTTAAAGGACCATTATAGGCACCCAGACCACTTCAGCTTAAAGGACCACTATAGTGCCAGGAAAACATACTCGTTTTCCTGGCACTATAGTGCCCTGAGGGTGCCCCCACCCTCAGGGACCCCCTCCCGCCCGGCTCTGGAAGGGGGAAAGGGGTTAAAAACTTACCTTTTTCCAGCGCTGGGCGGGGAGCTCTCCTCCTCCGATCCTCCTCCGTCTCCTCCTCCTGGGCTGAATGCGCACGCGCGGCAAGAGCTGCGCGCGCATTCAGCCCGTCACATAGGAAAGCATTTACAATGCTTTCCTATGGACGCTTGCGTGCTCTCACTGTGAAAATCACAGTGAGAAGCACGCAAGCGCCTCTAGTGGCTGTCAATGAGACAGCCACTAGAGGAAATAGGGGAAGGCTTAACCCATTCATAAACATAGCAGTTTCTCTGAAATTGCTATGTTTATGAAAAAATGGGTTAACCCTAGCTGGACCTGGCACCCAGACCACTTCATTAAGCTGAAGTGGTCTGGGTGCCTAGAGGGGTCCTTTAATGAAGTGGTCTGGGTGCCAGGTCCATCTAGGTTTAACCCTGCCTGCTGTAAACATAGCAGTTATTACTAGACTTATTATTAGACTTATTTTACTATTATAGTAATTACATATAATCAGTATTATGTTAATAATATAGACCATTCATGGATAAATATTCATGAAGAAATATCATATTATTTAATAAATGTTAGTGGAATAGAAAAATAATCCGACACACACAGCTTCACAAAAGGACCAGACACAAGAAAGCCAGACACTAGTGATAGATAACCCGTAGTAATTAATTTAACTTTCTAAATCTCTGGGACTAACACTCAATTCTCAAACTCTCTTGGACACAACTCAAGAAACACCTCCTGGACACTTAGAATTTTACTATTATTTTCTAACCAACACCACTTTCTCTATTACATGCACACCTCCATACAATCATCAATCATACTTGCATTCAAATTCCTGGGACTATCTAATCATCGGATAAGATCATCTGATGAGAACATCTACAACATAACAGGTAATTATGCTGGTTTTATTTAATTAATTAAAATTTTACTCATAGCCGGAATATATACCTGGATACCGTATATACTCGAGTATAAGCCGAGTTTTTCGGCACATTTTTTGTGCTGAAAAACCCCAACTCGGCTTATACTCGAGTCAGTCTGTATTGTGGCAACTTACATTGCCACAATACAGACCAGGACTGCCGGACTCATTACAAGCCCAGCGGTCCTGTTGGGGGCTGGCAAGAAGCTGTTACTTACCTTCCTGCAGCTTCTGTCAGCTCCCTTCTCCTCCGCGCAGCTCCTCTGTCAGCTCCGTTCTGCTCCCAGTGTAAGTCTCGCGAGAGCCGTGGGTCTCGCGAGACTTACACTGTAAACAGAACGGAGCTGACCGGGGAGCTGCACGGAGGATGAGGGAGCTGCAGGAAGGTAAGTAACAGCTCACTGTCAGCCCCCCCACTGAACTGCCAATGCCACTGGACCACCAGGGATTTAATTTTATTTTAATAATAATAATATAATAATATTATTTTATTATTTTAATATTTGCATTATTTTTTGTCCAAAAATTTTTTTGTCCCCCCTCCCTGCTTGTTGCCTGGCCAGGGATGGGGGACAAAAAACATTTAAAAAAAAAATTATGCAAATATTAAAATAATAATATAATAAAATATTATTTTAATATTATATTATTTTAATATTATTTTATTATTATATTATTATTATTTTAATATTTGCATTATTATTTTTTTTTAAATGGTTTTTTGTCCCCCCTCCCCGCTTGTTGCCTGGCCAGGGAGGGGGGACAAAAAACCATTTAAAAAAATAATAATAAAATAATAATAAAATATTATTTTAATATTTTATTATTATATTATTATTATTTTAATATTTGCATTATTTTTTAAAAAAATTTTTGTCCCCCCTCCCTGCTTGTTGCCTGGCCAGGGAAGGGGGACAAAAACATTAAAAAAAAAATAATGCAAATATTAAAATAATAATATAATAATAAAATAATATTATTATTTTAATAGTATATATTATTTTATTATTATTATTATTTTAATATTTGCATTATTTTTTGTAAAAAAATGTTTTGTCCCCCTCCCTGCTTGTTGCCTGGCCAGGGAGGTGGGACAAAAAACATTTTAAAAAAAATAATGCAAATATTAAAATAATAATATAATAAAATAATATTATTTTAATATTATTTTATTATATTATTATTATTTTAATATTTGCATTATTATTTGTTAAATGGTTTTTTGTCCCACCTCCCTGGCCAGGCAACAAGCATTATTAAAAAACATTTAAAAAAAATAATGCAAATATTAAAATAATAATATAATAAAATAATATTATTTTAATATTTTATTATTATATTATTATTATTTTAATATTTGCATTATTTTTTTAAATTTTTTTTGTCCCCCCTCCCTGCTTGTTGCCTGGCCAGGGAGGGGGGACAAAAAACATTAAAAAAAATAATAATGCAAATAATAAAATAATAATAAAATAATATTATTTTATTTTATTATTATATTATTATTATTTTAATATTTGCATTATTTTTTTTAAATGTTTTTTGTCCCCCCTCCCTGCTTGTTGCCTGGCCAGGGAAGGGGGACAAAAAACATTTTTAAAAAAATAATGCAAATATTAAAATAATAATAAAATAATATTATTATTTTAATATTATATTAATATTATTTTATTATTATTATTTTAATATTTGCATTATTTTTCAAAAAAAAAAATGTTTTCCCCCCTCCCTGACCAGGCAACAAGCAGGGAGGGGGGACAAAAAAAACATTTAAAAAAGAATAATGCAAATATTAAAATAATAATATTATTAAAATAATAATAATATAATATAATAATAATATTAAAATAATATAATAAAATAAAAAAATTAAAATAAAAATGCCCTCCCCTCATCCAGTTTACACACACTGCATTATATACACACTGCATTCATTATATATACACACACACACACAAACACACACTCTGCATTTATTCTATACACACACTGTAAATAAATATTCAATTAATGTAATTTTATTGGGATCTAATTTAATTTAGAAATTTACCAGTAGCTGCTGCATTTCCCACCCTAGGCTTATACTCGAGTCAATACGTTTTCCCAGTTTTTTGTGGTAAAATTAGGGGCCTCGGCTTATATTCGGGTCGGCTTATACTCGAGTATATACGGTAAATCTCGGTTAGATTTCAATAATTAGAAATCTTAGTTAACTAAAGAATATATAGTTATAAACATTCCATTCTGCAGGTGGAATCAAGATAATTATATATTAATGATATATTTAGCATGTGTTAGCATACCGCTGTTTTTATCCAGATGTATTGATTTGCTCTGAAATAATATAGTGCATCTTATGTAGGGAAATTAAAATTCGGCTAATGTAAAATCTGGTAGATTTTTATTTTTATTGGATGGTTCCAGGAATGATTAATGATTTGGTATGGACATTATAATTGAAAAATAGAAATAGAATAGGATATTGTATGCCTAGTAGGATTATAGCCAGCATTGAAAGAGTTAATCAGTGTGGTCTAACTGCAAGCCGAAGATTTTATTGCTCCTCGCTGCACTGTTGTATTCTGTGGAATTTGGTGTTCTGTGTGCTGTGAGCTTTCTGTGAGATTGTTTACCTCTCATAAATCTTGACATTTGAGTAAACCTTTCAGGTGGGTAGACCTCTCCTCCAAGGTAGTGTAGCACTATGCTCTTAAAAGAACAAGAGATTATAATCCCATAGGAGTATAGTGATATAGCAATCCCCAGGGTAGATACAACCGTTTCCCCCACACATAAGATGAGAACTCATTTATTGGGAGTTACAACTGGCCTTATATACATGTCCCAATGCAAGGGGCACTCCCACATGGACCTTGTGGGGTACTGCAACACAAAATCACAGACCAATAACAACAATGTTTAAATGCATGACACTCCCATATACAAACATACAATCCCTCCCCTCTGCTTGGGAGATAATTGAGTCAGATACTGTATTAACTCAATTATCTCCAGGCAGAAAATCCCCACATATTTTTATAAAACCCCAAAAGTACCCTTAAAACTCATGGAAACCCCATAGTCCCCTGATCTGGGTGAACAACATATCCAAAAATCACCCTAGGGGGCTGTGGGCGACACTAAATGGTCAGCAGGGGTGGAGCTAAATGTGGCTGTACACACTGGCTGGTTCCTGCTGCACACTGAATGGGAAGAAGGAAGGAGTCCCTGCTTCCCCGCAACTACACCCCACAAACTGCAGTGCCTCCACTCTTCCATCAGTGCCCATAATGAAAAGAGTTAACTGACTGTTTGTGTGTTTTACTTTTTATCTTTAATTATGTGTGTGTCACTGCCTGCCTATGTGTGTGACTGTCTGTCTGTGACTCAGCAAATGCCTGTCTATGTGTGACTGTCTGCCTGTAACTGTGTGTAATGGTGTGTCACTGCCTGCTTGGGGGGGGGGTGAATTGGTCAAATGAAGTGGCTGGGGGGAGGGAATGGAATAGATGGGGTGTCTAAGAGGATGTAATGGGGCTGAGGGGGAGGGAATGGGACACATGAACGGGCTTTGGGCTGAGGAAATGAGACACAAAGAGGGAATTTGAGGGGGAAATGAGACACATGGAGGAGCTTTGGGGGGAGGAAATGAGACACACAGACGGGCTGGGATTTCTAGTTACGCCTCTGTGTAAACAAAAATGGTCAAATGGAACAATTCTCCAAGTCACTATGCTCTCAGTTTGGCTATTTTGTCCTTAAATCTGAAAAACACCCTAAATTCTAGACGTTCAATTAGTTTCGGTCCAAATGTGAATTCGGACATTCGGATGCTTCCGAATGTCCGAATTTTGGAAGAGCTGAACCGAACCGAATTGCTGAAGTCCCGAATTTCGGAAGTGCCGTACCGAACCGAAGTGCCAAATTTCGGAAGTGCAGAAGTGCTTTGAATTTCTGAAAAGTGGCAAAACAGAAGAGGGAAGGAAAATTAAGGGAATGATGACAGGAATCTAACCCTAACCGTACTCCTAACCCCAGCCCTACCCCCAACCTTCCTCTAACCCTAACCCTTAATCCAACCTTCCTCTAACCCTAACCCTACCCTTCCTAGAGTTAGGGTTAAGAGTAGAGTTAGGGTTAGGAAATTGCCAAAGTCCTGAATTACCCAATTCCCGAATTTTGGAAGTGCCAAACCGAAGTGCTGAACTGAACCAAATTTTTTGCCCATGCACATCCCTACTAAATTCACAACAGTTCTCACTTTAGTGAGGAGCCTGCAGTTAGCTCTATGTACCATTTGCTGGCATACAAATGTGTGGCTGTTGTAATTGTTCTTCCAAGTTACACGTCGAAGCAACATTCTTACAACCACACATTTAGTATGATTTAATCCCATACAGATGGAAGGGAGTGTGGTTGTTATGATGTTGCTTCTATACAAAGTGTGTCGTGGTTATTATTTAACTCCCATACAGATGGCAGGGGGTTTGGTTGTTATTTTACTCCCATATAGATGGCAGGGGGTAATAATAATATATAAGAATTTCCGATTTTTATAGTGCTTTTCTCCCTGTGCACTTTAAAGGTATACAAACATAAATACATAAAAGGAAAAGAGAGAAGGTAATAGGCGCTCACTATAGAAATTGATGAATAAGCAGCAGTATAGAGATCAAGGATTCCCAGAACCTTGTGATTAAATAGAAAAAAAGAAGAAAAATGTAAACCGCACTGTTATAAATATAAATAGTACATACATATAGTAGTAGATACTTCCAATGAGTCAAAAGAACCTCGGAATAAAATAAAGAAAAATAATAGTGCGATACAGTACAAATATATTAAGTGCTGATTTTGACTGTAACTCAATCCACTCACATTCGTATGAGCTATAACAGAGCTCTGCTGTAGTGCGCTTGGACGGTACAATCCCCGTCTCAGGATGTGTTGTTCAGGTTGATCCAAATATTTCAAAGTGCAGTATGCATAGTAGAGAGAAAAATAGTGAAGTACCAAAACAACCAACGATAATGTACCTTATACACACACAGTATATATGCAAGGATACTTATCAAATATAGATGGATACAGCCTCCCTCTGATCGCTCCCAGCTAGCGATCAGCTTGACAACAAAAATATGGAAGAACACAACGAGGGAACCGGCTGTTAATCTAAATAAAAATTGGAAAGTGGCTTTAATTCAATATTAAAAAAAATAAAGATAAAATAATTATATAAATAAGGTCCTACGCGTTTCGTCCCTTTAACAAAATAGGGACTTCCTCAGGGACCACAATATTAAAATGCAATTGATACAATACAATAAAAAAAACAGCCTAACAATTCCCCACCCGAAAGTCCTTTAAATAGGGCTAATCCCTAGATGTAATTCTGTCACATGTGTTTCTCAGTCTCTCCTCATTGGTCCTGAGTTGATGAAATTCATCTGTTGCTGATCATAATTCTGAGTGTTCACAGCTAATTTCGAACTTGTTGAATGATCCTCCATTGATTTTCGGCACGGAAGTGCCATGCGTTCCAACTGTGTTAATGAAACCGGAAATGGCATGCGTTTCAACCTCCTTTTTTGCGTTCCATTTGTGATCTGTAATATCTGGCCATAAAAATACATATAAATACTTCCACTCCACAACTCCATGAACAATATATTATCCATATAGTTCATACAAGAATTGTTTTATTATGCACCACATAGATTCCTCCAAATCACTGCATTCAATCCACTTCAATATACCATATTAAATAATGTGATTTTATATTATCATATAATCTATCCCCTATTTTTAGTGAATTTATAATTTATGTATCTCATTTATAAATTTATAATAAATTTCATAATAAATTTCAATAAATTTGTTAATTATTTCATTTGTGTCAATCTTTATTTAGTAGCTTATTATGTCAATTTTTTTTTTGTTTTTTTGTTAAAATGTTCAAAAAAAAATAGTGAAAAAAATAGTGAAGTACATCCTAATGGTGAAGCTGGTAATAAATAGTAATGTACTTACAATTTTTTGAGCATACAATTTGCTCTAGTACAGACAGCTTAGGTGGTATAATCCCCACCAAGGATATACAGGATCCAGGAAGTAAAGAAGGGATGGATAAAAGTATCTATTAAAAAGTATACTTTAATATAAACAAAACATAATATAGAACATAAAAATTATATAAAAATATAAAGGAGAGTCCCACTTAACGCGTTTCGCCCGGTAGGCTTCTTCAGAAGTGTGGTATAACCTCCTCTGGGTCCTGTTTATAAATGGTTCTGAATTCTTGAAATTACTTCCTGGTGTGGTTTCTTCCGGTTTCCGGATGCTTGTTGCAACACACGCGTCATACCGGAAATGACGCGATGTGCGCGTCATACCGGAAATGACGCAATGCACATCAGGGGTATATATGTAATATTACCAGTTGTAAACAATTCCATTTGACCCCCTTCTCACCCTTCTTTTTATTTGTATATGTACAATTTCTTCATATTATTAACAATTTAGATACTGCTAATGTTTTTATTTATCCTTCTTTCCCTTATGCCCATAACAAACATAGCCGTCTTGCCGTTTTCACTAAGAGACTCTGTGGCGAAATCGACCTCGCCACTGGGCATTGGAGAAGACTGATTGCCAGCCTCTTGCCATGTAACTATGGCCCCTGGGATGTATTGCCCTTTAAAGACATGATTTGGGCATAATGGATTTGTGTTGTGCTGCTGCTGGCCCTTTAAGAACCATCTGGGGACATACTGTGGAGTTACTGGATGGCCACCATTTCATGTATCTGAGGCACATGGTGAGAACAATGGATGAAGCACATGGTGAGAACAATGGATGTCCATTCCATTTTAACTCACAGACACTGTTTGGACTTTTCAACATGGTGCCATCTCGCCGGTATTTGGTGCACAGAGACATCGTGCAGTGATTTTGGACTATACAACAGGGGACACATTATACAGTAATTGTTTTTCATATAGCCTGCATATGTTCTGTGGAATCTGCATTAAACTGTATCTTCCAAAGTACTGAACGGATCTGGGTGAATTTTGGATATGTGGTTCACCCAGATCCCCCGGTTCCAAGGATATACTTTTATGGGGTTATTGCATGTTTTGGGGTCCCTGTGATGTGTTTTATGATACTGTATTTCTCTGCCGGTGATAATTACATTACCCATTGTGTAAGGTAATTGTATCACAGGCAGAGGGGAGGATTTTGTGTGGGAGTGTCTGAGTGTATTGTACGTGTTTATTGGTTGGTTTTCAAAAACCCTGTGGGCAGTACTATGTTTGTGGATTGTGAATAAAAGAGGCTGTATGTGCCAGTACAGTCAGTTCTGCTTGACCTCAAAACGAAGTGTCGTCTCGTTATTGGGGGAATTGGATTGTATGCCGATTGCCAGGAGTGTAAGCTGATTGTATGCTTTTCCTGTTCAGCTGCTTACAGCATTCATATGCTTGAGAGCATTCATATGCTTCTCCGGTTCGGTGGTTGTGGTTTCTGCTGCAGTGCTTGGAGTCCTCAGGAAGCGCTAGGAGCATCCTTCAACGGAGATACCCAGTCGGGGTGCCAGGTGATCGGTTACAGACTCACTTTAAGGGGCATGACTATTTGGCATAAGCGCCTGGAACGCAACGCACGCTATCCGACATCGGTACGTGCGTTCCATGGATGGCACAATAACAATACAGCAGCCCACATAGGATGCCGCGTCATTTTCGGTATGACGCGCACATCGCGTCATTTCCGGTATGACGCGTGTGTTCCAACAAGCATCCGGAAACCGGAAGAAACCACACCAGGAAGTAATTTCAAGAATTCAGAACCATTTATAAACGGGACCCAGAGGAGGTTATACCACACTTCTGAAAAAGCCTACCAGGCGAAACGCGTTAAGTGGGACTCTCCTTTATATTTTTATGTTCTATATTATGTTTTGTCTATATTAAAGTATACTTTTTAATAGATACTTTTATCCATCCCTTCTTTACTTCCGGGATACTGTATATGCTTGGTGGCGATTATACCACCTAAACTGTCTGCACTAGAGCAAGTTGTACTTACAATTTTTTGAGCATACATTACTATTTATTACCAGCTTCACCATTAGGACGTACTTCACTATTGGCTGCTATTTTTCTCTCTACTATGCATACTGCACTTTGAAACATTTGGATCAACCTGAACAACACATCCTGAGACGGGGATCGTACCGTTCAAGCGCACTGCAGCAGAGCTCTGTTATAGCTCATACGAATGTGAGTGGATTGAGTTACAGTCAAAATCAGCACTTAATATATTTGTACTGTATCGCACTATTATTTTTCTTTATTTGATTCCAAGGTTCTTTTGACTCATTGGAAGTATCTACTGCTATATCTATGTACTATTTATATTTATAACAGCACGGTTTACATTTTTCTTCTTTTTTTTATAAAATACATAAAAGTTAGGAGTTTCTGAAGGTCAGCTGAACGGACTGAATGCCTGATGGAAGATGTGGGTCTTTTTTTTTTTTTTAAAGTCTGTAAGGACAGTGCCTCTCTGTGCTGATTGTGCACGGTAAGGAGTTCCAGAAGGTAGGGGCAGCGTGGCTGAATGGCCTAGAAACTTAGTCTGTCTTAATTCTTGGCACTGACAGGAAGGATTTGCTGGCTGGCCGAAGTGAAAGGGATGGAATGTAGGGTGTCAGGAGTTCTTTCAAGTACTGTGGGCCTTGATTGTGTAAGGCTTTGAAGGTTAGCAGGCCAATTTTAAAACATGTTCGCCATTTAATTGGAAGCCAATGCAGGGAGTGGAGAACAGGTGTTATGTGGCATGAGCGAGTTTTATTGGTCAGTAGTCTGGCTGCTGCATTTTGTACAGTCAGAAGGCGATGGAGTTCCTTTTCTGGGAGGCCCAAGTAAAGGACATTGCAGTAATCTAGCCGAGAGGACAAAAATGCATGGATTAATGTTGGCATATCATCCGGTGGAATTAAATATTGTACAGCTATGTTTATCAGATGAAAGTTGGCAGATTTTATTATGGAGGAAATCTGCTGTTTAAATGAGAGTCCAGCGTCAATCAGCACTCTGAGGTTTTATACCTTTGAGGAACTGATAAGTTCAGAACCTCCGAGCTCCAGGCCAGTTGGGTGATCATGGGATATTTTTGTTGCCCATGGTTCCCTGACCAAGAGTAACTCTGTTTTGTCCGGGTTCACTTTAAGCCTACTAGCATTCATCCATTCTATGAGGTCTGCTAAGCAACTGTTGATGTGGCATGTTGGGTCTCTGGTATCTGGAACAACGGACAAGTAGAGTTGTGTGTCATCAGCGTAACAATGACACCTTAGGCCATGTCAGCTAATGATGTCTCCCAGTCGTAGCAAGTAAATTGCGAATAGCATGGGAGACCAGATGGATCCTTGTGGAACTCCGCAGGCCAGTTCTGTTTGTAGCGATGAGCTTGATCCTGATGTTACTCTCTGTGATCTACCAGCGAGAAGAGATTTAAACTAATTAAGGACTGTGCCTCCTAGACCACAGATGTGCTGCAAGCGCTCTATTAACATCCTATGGTCAATGGTGTCAAATGCAGCTGAGAGATCCAAGAGGATTAGGATGGAGTAATCACCTTTGTCTCTCCACATAAGGAGATCATTTAGCACTCGGACTAGCGCTGTTTCAGTGCTGTGGCGCTTTGGAAAGGAACAAAGATGTTCAAGCTTGATAGATGGGCCTCCAGTTGAGTTGCCACTACATTTTCAATTATTTTCCCCAGAAATGGAAGGTTGGATACTGGTTTGTAATTAGCAAAGAAGTCTGAGTCTAATAAAGGTTTCTTTAGGAGTGGTTTTACCACAGCTTCTTTTAGAGGATCTGCAAAGTCTCCAGTTTTTAGTGAACACTGCACTATTTTTGTGAGGGCTGGGGCGAGTGTTTCAATGCATGCAGATATAAGCCACATGTAGTAGGGTGTAACTTTTGCATGTTTTTTTTTTTTAACTCCCTTTATATTCACATTTGTAAAAGTGGACCATAAACTAAGACAATCTGGCATTCAATTGTAGTGGTTCTGGTATGTAACTGTGTAGCCTGCTCTGATAGAGGCTCGGACTGAGGAAATCTTGTCTCTGAAGATCGCAAATGCTTCACACTTATCCTGAGAAAAGATGGTGGGGTTATGCATGCATGCTTGTTTGCAGAGCCTTTCTACTGTGCGAAACAGTTGCCTGGGTATATTGTGGGAGAGTGCAATTTTGCGTGATAAAAATGAAGATTTTTTTTTTAGTTATATTGAATTGATATTCGTTTAGATGTTTGGTAAGAGCGGATTTATTCACTGGATCATGTGTCCTGCACCACTTTCTCTCGCGTTTACGGCCTGTTCTCTTCCTTTCTCAGGTGGTGCTATCAAACCATGGTGCATAGTTGTGGGTTTTGACAGTGCGTATGCATGTTGGTGCAATGCTTTCTAGGGTATCTCTCATGGTTTTGTTGTAGAGTCTGACTAAGGAGCTGGGGTCTTCACAGGAGCCCATTAGTTCACTTAGATCCATATGTGATGTTACATTCAATGGCATCACCCCGTTTAATGAGCGGTATTTGACCAGGCTCTGAGGCTGGGGTCTGGCTGATTGTGATACAATGAAGAAGTGAATGGAGTGGTGATCTGACCAAACAATTGGATTCACAGTTACTGGTGAAACTTCTAGTCCAGAATGAAACACGAGATCAAGTGTATGACCTTTTCTGTGGGTGGAAGTGGCGACGATTTGGTTGAAGCCGAGTGCACTAATCAAGCTGAGGAGATCCTGCCCAAGCAGGGATAGGGTGTCATCAATCCAAGTGTTGAAATCTCCCAATATAGGCAATCTAGGGTGTTCAAGTATTAAGCCAGCCAAAAGGTCTGAGAGGTCCTGAAGAAATGTCTTCTCATCTCCTGGGGATCTGTATATTAACAGTATCAGGAATCCTCTGTCTATTGAGATGCTGGCAGCTACGCATTGAAAAGATTGGGGTATGTGGACTGATATTGGTCTGGGATTTAAGGATGATTTCACACAGATCATAACTCCACCTCCCATGGGATCTTGTCTCGGGCGGTGGAACACCGTGTAATTGCCTGGAATAGTTGCCTCTAGAACAGGCCCCGCATTTTCATCTAGCCATGATTCTGTAATGCACGCTAATTTGCATGTGTCAATAAGGTTGGCAATAATAGCAGTTTTGTTTCTTATTGATCTGGCATTGCACAGGATTGATCTGATAGGACAGTCTTGGGATTCGGAGTTTTTGCTCTGTATTTTGGAAACAGTGTCTTTTAATGGCATAGTTGCCAACATTTGAAAAAAAAGTAGGCGATTTGGAAAAATTCTCCCATTCAGCTGCACTATTTCGACCTAAAGTTTGAAATTCCTATCAATTCCATGCAATTTTCTCTTAACTGATACAGTAAGCACACAAGCTCAAAGACAGACAAGTTCACAGATACAAAACACAAACTCACTTTTAACATCAGATTGAAAATAAAACCATTTTTTTCATAAAACTGAAACAAAGGGATTTAACACCTAAATGGCAGAGAATTGAGCAGTGAGACTGCCGGGCATGATCTATACACCAAAACTGCTTCATTAAGCTAATTTTGCCTATACTATCCTCTATAAATCATTTCATGCAGTTATTTACCAATGCGAATTCAAAGGGAATTTCTAATCCAAGGCAAACGTAGGTGAACTGGAAATAAACAAACATTCTCTAAGTGAGTTATGAAATTCACTAAGAATTATCACTTTATCAAAGGGACACTTCACTGCCCAAACACAATATATATATATTTGTGCTCGGAATTTAATACGTAATGGATAGTATCTGTAAAGACAAAGTTGGTTGTGGTGTGCCGAAACCAACGTACGAGTGGGCCTGTAAATAAAAGAGGGCCCACCAAGGAGAATGTAATTATAACAGGGTGTAGGTGGGTGGGGACAATCAGCTGAACGGCAGAGGTGAGTAGGGGCTGGGAGTTTAAGTAGGGGACTTACTCCTCCCACAAATTCAGGCCTAATGGCCTTTCTACTTGTGCTCGGAATTTAATACGTAATGGATAGTATCTGTAAGGACAAAGTTGGTTGTGGTGTGCCGAAACCAACGTACGAGTGGGCCTGTAAATAAAAGAGGGCAAAAGAGAAGTTCGAGAAAATACACACTTTATTGCCTTTTTACATAACCAAGTTCCTGAAAGCTTGACAAAGCTCTTTTTCTGGTCGTGGAATATAAGTATGGTATATGGAGGATTGCCATCGCCCCAATCTCTTGATGATGTGGACCGGTGTATTAGTGCTGGAGGCTAAAGAGGCGGCTCCTTTGCGAAAGGAGTGCCCGGAGAATGAAGTCGGATTGAAACCCAGTTTAGATAATAGTGTTCTGACGTGAGACGTGAATTTAGCAGTGGTAAGCGGGTGCCCTTGTATAGATAAGAGCGGAGAGTCTGGTAAGTGCGCATGAAGAGTTGACCGTAGGTGGTCTAGCGCCTTGACCGGACACCAGGCATTATCAGTAGGGAAGAGAGGCATTACAGTGGGGTGTAGTGAATGGTTGGTTTTAGTTGACGGGATTGAAAGTAGATAGTGATCCTCCACCTTTGTGAGGTGCAATGTTTTTAGGCTGTGCGTGATATCCCCTTGACGAACAACGGTGAACTCTCTAGGTCTGAGAAAACCGTAGAAAGCAAGATAGATAGCCGCTTTGATCACCAGGTTTGTGTCGTGATCAAACGGGGATTCGTCAAGGAGATTGCTAAGTGATCTGAAGATAGGCCCATCTATAGGTAGTCTTGTGATAGTGAGAGGAGCTGAAACCTTTAACATACCTTTCAATACCTTTTTAATGGGATATGATGACAAGAAGGAGGTGTTGTTAGGAAAATATGTGAGGCTATGGTGCTGCACCCCGGTGAGGTAAAGTTTTATGGTGTTGAGGGAAAGTTTAAGATGTAAGTGACAGAAAGAGGCAAAAGCCACCATGGTTTGTATAGAAAGCTCAGAAGAAAGGGATCAGCGCTCTCTATCTATACAAAATACAACTGAAACAATAATAAATAAGTAAAAAGTGGCAGCACACCTAAAACGTAGGGCTCCCTCACAGGCCTTACAACAGAAATGGTACAGAAAAAAGAAAGGAAGGCAGTGCCACTATAAACCACATAAATTAAAAAGAGCACAGAATAGGCAGACTAGAATGCAATATATATGATAGGTCATACTTAAAAGATTCCATGTCCCTTTTATGTTTTTTAGAAAATTTTACCTGGCATCCAGATTTTATTCTAGTCACTTGTGATGTCCAGTCTTTGTACACCATAATCCCCCACGAATTAGGGTGTGAAGCAGTTTTAAATAGATTAAAAACGGATAATAAAATTCCAGAAAAACAAATTAATTTTATCTTAGAAGGGATAAAAATTATTTTAACAAATAACTATTTTTGGTTTTTAGACACTTTTTACATTCAAAGACAAGGCACAGCTATGGGTACTAGGTTTGCACCAAGTTATGCCAATCTTTTTATGGACAATTGGGAGTCTAAAGCAATCTGGGGAGATCACCCCTGGAAAGCAAACCTAGTATCCTATTTTAGATACATAGACGACTTGTTTTTTATCTGGAAAGGTCCTGAAACCTCACTTAAACTTTTTTTAAATCATCTAAACAACAACAATAGTGGCATCATTTTAACATCAGAACAGATTTAATACATTTTTTAGACATCCAAATTTTTATCCAGGATGGGAATATTAACACTCGAACTTTTTTAAAAAAAACTGTGCACCAACACAGTTATTGACAGATCAAGCTGCCACTACCAACCATGGTTAGATGGGGTCCCTAAAGGTCAGTTCCTACGTCTTCGCAGGAACTGTTCCCTTAATACAGATTTTGACAAACAAGCTAGAACACTAGAAGCTCAATTTATCAGTAAAAATTAACCAAAAGAAAAGCTAGAAGAATCCCTCAAAGCAGTGAAACAAAAAGAAAGACTCGAGCTTTTAGAATATAATACGAATAAAAATAAAGACCCACCATCCATGCCAATCATCTTTAACTTTGACAATAAGAATAAAATTGTGAAAAAAACTATTCAAAAACACTGGCACATTTTAAAACAAGACGAAATTTTAAAGACACTCATCCCAGATAAACCCCATATCATTTTTAGAGGGGCCCCAAACCTAAAGACAATGCTTACTAAAAATTATACAAAAAAAGCCAATACAAGCAATCCATCATTTTTATCAAATTCTAAAGGTTTTTTCAAATGCAACAGATGCATTGTCTGCAGATCCACTGACCAAAACAGCACATCAAAGACAACACAATTCACCTCAAACAAAACCGGTATTACATACCCTATCAAAGATTTAATATGTTGCACTACTAAGAATGTTGTATACCTATTGGAGTGCCCATGTGGCCTCCAGTATGTGGGTATGACCACACGATGCTTAAAAATAAGGTTAGCAGAACATTGTAGAAATATTATCAAAGGCTACCCTAATCACTCTGTTTCAAAGCATTTTATTCAACACAACAAAGACCCTAAATTTTTAAAATGTACTGGGATCCAAAGATGTAAATTACCCTGGAGGGGAGGTGACCTCAAAAAATTACTGGGACAAAAAGAAATGCACTGGGTGTTCCTTTTAAAAACCCTTACCCCCGAAGGTCTTAATGTAGAGTTCGACCTGTTTAATTTTTTATAATTAATTTTTTATAACATATTTCTTATATTTTATCTTCTATAATTATTTTGTGCATGAAGTACATATTTATACAATGTGACTTATATACGTGACTGTTCTATTTAAATAATATGCAAGGTATTGTGAGTATAAAACCTTGTTTTTAATTTAAATTTTAGACTATCACATGTCTCCAATATAGGTTTGTATTCACTGATACATATAAAGTTTAGCACTTTTGAAAAAAAAAAAAAAATGATAACCGATCATGTGACTGTTGTATCTAAATAGAATATGTAAGGTATTGTGAGTTTAAAACCTCGTTTTTAATTTTAAACTATCACATGTTTCACATATAGGTATGTACTCACTTACACATATAAAATTTAGCACTTTTGAAAAAAAAATAAAAAAATTATGACATCATTTTGGCGCCATTTTCTAATATGTTCACTGCCTATATAAACCTGTATGTAACAGGATGTACTTTCTGATCTCCACTTGATAAAGCCTAAGGGCGAAACGCGTTGTGTTTTTTTTTAAACTATATTGTTTTAAATAAAGGTATTTTGGCCACTTTCTTACTGTGAGTTAGCCATCTTACTTTTTATTACTATTATTATTTTACTTTTTTATTACTACCATCCTTTTATCCGGCACAGAAGTGTTTTTACTTTCCAGTGAGGATATTACTCCCAAGAATCCTAGGTGGGGATTATACCACTCAAGCTGTATTCATTGAACAGTCAGTCTGTTCAACTAAATGTGAGTAACCACTTGGTTTTTTATCTTCTCACCTCTGGCATTTTATACTTTGAGCACCATTGTTGTTCCTGCTTTTATTTTCACATATGGTTCCCTAATCAAGAAAGAATACTAAGACCTCACGTATCCCATAAGTGGGATTATACCACTGTACGTTATCAACACTAGAGCTAAGTCCATAGCTCTTGAAAACGTGAGTAGGACCATATACTCTTTTATTGCTTCTACCCCTTTCGGGACATACTATACCATCAGTTTTTATTTTCTCATTTCATATGATGTACAAAGACGCATCTACACCACTCTGAAGAATCCCCCACTACAAAAGACTGTATTCACCTCTACAAAGATATTTGTTTGATTCATCTACCAGTCAGACTATTTATTCTGGACTTCTATTTGCTTATTATCTATCATATATATTGCATTCTAGTCTGCCTATTCTGTGCTCTTTTAATTTATGTGGTTTATAGTGGCGCTGCCTTCCTTTCTTTTTTTTTGTATAGAAAGGTTGCCTTGTAAACCGAATTCTGCAGTGAATTTGTTAAATATGGTAAGTGCACTTTTAGAAGCGATAGCTGTGTTAGGTGATAGTGCTTGGTGAGTGAGAGTCCTAGCTTGATGCATCAGTATGCTCAGTCCAGGATTAGTTCGTGAAACTGTGGTGTCCTGGATGGCTGGTGGTGAGCCGTAGGGAGTGCCTGAGAGAATACCTGGAATTGAGAGCTTGAAAGAGCGTCAGCTGCAGTGTTGTGGATACCCGGAATGTGAAAACAAACTAAGTGAAACTGACCGGTTGCTGCTAGCCAGGTCAGCTTGCGAATCAGCCGCATGATGGTCAGGGATGATGAACGCCCCTTGTTAATGATTTCGCAAGCTGCCGAGTTGTCAGAGTAGCATTTTACTGCCTTGCCAGACCACCACAATGGGATAGATTTCAAATAGGGCTGAGGTCTCCCTGAATCCTGGCAAGGCATCCGTCTCAGCGGGCCAGTGACCCCTAAACCAGTTGTTTCCAAAGATGGCTGCGAAACCAGTGTTGGCTGCAGCATCTGTGTGAATGATGGGTGAGGAAGTGGAGAGAGGGGGAATAAACATAGAGATACCGTTCCACTCGGCCAAAAACTTCCCCCACATAGCTAAGTCAGCCTTAGCGTGGGGGTCCAATGAAACTGGGCAAGAGTCCGGCACCCCGTGAAGCAGGCAAAGAAGCCTGGATATAAAAGACCTTCCCTGCGGGATGATGCACATGGCGAAGTTCAGGGATCCCAAAAGGGACTGGAGTTCCTTCCTGGTGCAAACATCATTCCGCAGGAACACGTCTATCTCCCCTCTCAAGCGGGCCAGTTTGTCATGGGGAAAGCTAGCTCTGAGGGTAACGGAATCAAGCTCTATCCCCAAAAAGGTTAATTTAGTTGTGGGACCAATAGTTTTAGATGGGGACAAAGGTACTCCAAGTGTGGAAAAAAGTGCTGTTGTGCAGCTGATAGCGGTGGGTGTTTGTGCCCCTGGCTCTATAAGTAGGAAGTCGTCTATGTAGTGAATAACGGAGTGACACCTGAGGACGTTCAGAAGCAGCCAGCATAGTGTCTCAGCGAAGATATCGAAAAGTTTGGGGCTGCTTCGAGAACCGAAAGTGAGTCATGTGGAGAAGTAGTACTTTCCTCGCCATTTAACACCGTGCAAGTGCCAGAGTGAGGGGTGCATGGGTAGTAACTTAAACGCGTTTGTGATGTCTGTTTTGCTGAGCATGGGGTGATTACCAGAAGAGATGATGGCCTGTATAGCGTTGTCAATAGTTACGTACTGGAGTGAGAATTCATCTGCTGGAATGAGTGCGTTTATGCTGGGAACAAAAGAGGAGTGCGGTGCCGATAAATCGATAATTAGACGTTTTTTATTTGAATATTTGTGAACTGCAACGCCGATTGGGTTAGTGCGCCAGGAGGAAAAAGGTGAGGAAGTGAAAGACCCGATCATGAAACCATTGGTAATTTCTGAGGAAAGAAGAGTGTCTGTGGAGACTGGGTCTAGGCGTGCTGACAGGAGATTAGGACATTCAAGTGTACCTGAGGGGATGGCTAATATACCCGTGCGAAACCCCTGTGTGAACCCTGTGGTCAGATATTCCACCAGGTGCCTGCTAGGGTGTGACCTTAAGTAAAAAACCAGGTTGTCGACATTAATGTTGGTTAGTCATTTGTTAGGGGACAACCTGGCCGGACACATGGTCTTGGTATGTGCCCTGAAGCAAATGGAGCAGATGTGCAACAATCTACAAGCGCTGAAACTGCAGGAGCCTGCGTTGAAATTATTGCACACCTGCGCCTTGCCTAAAAAGGAGATGGGCCTACCCAGCTTGTCACGTAGACCACCCGTTGGTTTGTTGTGAGGGGTGTAAGAGGTATGAGGGGTGGGAGTGGAGATGGTGGGATCTGCTTCAGAGGGACATAAGTCCGCCATGTGGGATGTGGAATTACACAAGGAACAATACGGGGGCCTGAGACCAGCGAAGTGGCGACAGAAAAGTTCTGTATCCAACTGACACCAGTTAATTCTAACGTTGAACTGTTTCAGATGGGTCGCCGCCTTCGCTGATACGGACTTATGATAGTCGTAGAAAGAAGAGCCCCCGTACTTGATGCCTAGATCCACCACCTTGTGAAGGTAGAGGTCTAACTCCTCTCTTCTGTGGGGATACACCGTGCAGATGACGTCACGGTATATCCCGAAAGCTATCACGAACTGGGGAATTGAAAGTTTTTTGTTAAGCCTGGGATCTCTTGTTTTAAGAACTACTGATATATCCCCGTAATTGTAAGCCTTGTTCTCCAGTATGTCCTGTGAAGCTATGAGCAGAGACACCAGACACACGTCCTTCCCGTCTAGGATTTCTTTCCTGATAGAGTCTGGGACGGAGTGAGTTGGTGACTCAAAAGGAGCTATAGCTGTGACTGGTGTTGGCGAGGGGAGTATGGGGGGGCATGCTGGTACAGCGGGGACAGCCGGGGTGGAGACTGGGAGGCCCAGGGTATTACCTGAGGAGGCGACGGCGCTCTCCACCTTAGATAGCCTGCTATTAAGGGTCTGTAGGTTGGCCAGGATTGCTGCCAGGGTATCCTGGGTGGCCGTGCCAGTGCTTCGTGGCTGTCCTTGAGAGCTAGTGCTTGGCCTAGGCTCAGGGGCTTGGCAGGTAAGCAGCCTGTAAAGTTCTGCCTTTCTAGCTGTGGCTGGAAAGGGGATTCCCCTGAGCCTAAGCTCGGCCGTAATTTTAGGAATAGTGCATGCTCTCAAGGACGTGGGAGTTGAAGGGGTGAGAGATTCGCCTGGAGACTCTGGTCTGGTTGGCGTAAACGGTATCTCTTCTGGCAGTTCTTCGATGGGGATTGATTCTTGGGACATTCTAAACGAAATGATTTTGTGAATGAGATATTAGACGGGGAGTAAGGAAACGTGGGGGGAATGTGAGGGATGGTATTTATTGGAAGAACTGGACTGTAATGCTAGTGCCGAAGCGAAAAACTTATCTGTGGGATTTTTGGTAGGTGAGGCCCTGCTAATGCAAAGTGGCGGTGAGAGGCTCTACCTATGATTTGGCTTAGGAAATTGAGGCCACAGACGTGGTGGCAGGGTGTTGGCCTCTCGGTGACTGTAAAGAGAATTCAAAACGTGTGGCCGTGACAGGTGAGGCCCTGACTAAAGCCCTGTAGTAGGGCGGGCGAGGTGTATAACTATGATTTGGGCGTGGGGCCGTACCTCCGTGTTGAGGTGGGAGATGGCCTCGCGGGACCGGATTACCTAATAGGGTGAGCTAAGGCGGTAGCCTAGACCCAGTAGCCAGTTCAATAGTATACTTAAGGTTGACTGGGAATTTCTGGTGTAATGTGTGGATACTCACCTTGAAAGGTTGTAAATGATAACTGGAACCTTGTAGTATTTTTTAATGTGGCGAGTCTTGTCTGCTGCTGTTTTTAATGAAGAAGCCTGAGGATTAAGACAGATGTTGATGTATTTATGCGTATCGTGGTGACGTATGGTTTGTAATGAGGGTTGGCTGTTAGGAGTGTAACGTGAGATCCTGAATTGAGGGATCTGAGAGGTTTAGTATAGGATTGGGACGAGTTTGCGTTAAAGAGAAAGGCTGATTGAGGCCTTGGGGTAGTGGTTGCCGTACGTGAGTAAGGACGTAAGTACCGGATGGTATGCCTGAGTACCGGATCAGGTAGATTGGATGTTTTCCTTGGCCTGATGGCAGTATGACCGTATGCCTGGGTAGAGAAATTGTAAAGAATTAACATACCGTGGGCGTAAGACCGTGAGTCAAATGTAATGAGACCGAGACCGCGTAAGGTCTTGTATAGAAAGGTCTTGAAAGAGTGGGGAATTATACCTTGAATGAAGTACGAAACTTGTGATGAGCGTAACTGGTTTAATGTGTAGAAACCGGTGGAGGCCTAGAATACTACTGGAGCTAAGGATTAACCAAAGAATTTTTAAATAGTTAATGACAGATGTGACAGTATGTAATAAAACCAACATGACTTGTTGTGACAAGTCTAGATAGCTAATTGTATTTGAGGCCTAGACCTGGATGAAACCAAAGTGAGAAAAATTTTATACCTTTTCCTGTAATAAAAGAACTTGAAATAGCAACTTTGAGCAGGAATGCAAGAAACCGATGCAATCTGTGAAGCCAAAAGACAAGTGACAGAGGCAAGAATAAATGACTGCATGATTCTAAGGAGAAGATGTAGTACAGAAGTGGATTTAATGCAATTACCCTAGAACAGTGATGGCGAACCTATGGCACGCGTGCCACAGGTGGCACGCCGGGCCCTTTCTGTGGGCACGCGGCCACAGGTTCGCCATCAATGCAGAGTAGGCACCTGCCTGCCCGAAACGGCAGGTGCCTACTCTGCTTCCGGGTCGGGAGGCAGGGGGAGGGCTCTGTGATGCAGCTCCCCTGTCCTCCCGCGCGATGCTGTGTGGAGCATTGCCGCGCGTTACCATGGCAACGCTCCACACAGCATTGCGCGGGAGGACAGGGGAGCTGCTTCCTGGAGCCCTCCCCCTGCAGTGCTTACCACCACCGGACCACCAGGGATCGCTGTGTCCCCCCTACTTCATTAAAGGTAAGAAGGAGGGAGGGGGGTATACTGACACAGCACCCTTACCCCCCCAGAAGTACCCCCCCAGCAGTACCCCTACCCCCCCAGCAGAACCCCGTAACCCCCACTCCCCCAGCAGTAACCCCTACCCCCAGCAGAACCCCTAACCCCCCAGCAGAACCCCTAACCCCCCAGCAGAACCCATAACCCCCCAGCAGAACCCCTACCCTCCCCAGCAGTACCCCTACCCTCCCCAGCAGT